AGGAGGAGGAGGAGGAACAGGAGGAGGAGGCGGCGGATGAGGACGACGACGACGATCACGACGGCGGCCACGACGACGACCACGACGACACCGTCAACGACGAGCTGATGACCCTGCCACAGGCTCGGGACATGGGGCTGGCTGAGGAGGGAAGGGGAGGAAGAGGAAGAGGAGGAGGAGGAGGAGGAGGAGGAGGCGAGGGAGGAGGAGGAGGAGGAGGAGGAGGATGAGGAGGTGGAGGCCGAGGAGCAGGAGGCTGAGGAGAGGGAGGAGGAGGAGGAGGAGGAGGAGGAGGAGGAGGAGGAGGAGGAGGAGGCCGAGGAGCAGGGGGCTGAGGAGGAGAGGGAGGAGGCGGAGGCGGCGGAGGAGGAGGGGGAGGAGTCGGAGGAGGACCAGTGCAACCCCAAGACCCATTGACGATGTTGCAATACGGCCTTCCATCAAGTTCCCTCTTCCTGTGTACCTACATGGACTTGTTTTCTCTCAGGGAAGTGCCCTGTTGGAAGACAACATTCTGAAGATCCTGAACCGTGCTGGAACTTCAACGCCGCGAATCAACGTGACTGCTGCGCCCTGACAGTCCTACATTGCCCGACCTACATCGTGCCCAAGCAATATGTCTGGGACGGATGTCAACCATAGTAATCCTAGAACATGCTGCGAACGCTTAAGATGAATGTGTGTGTGTGTGTGTGTGTGTGTGTGTGTGTGGGGGCTAAGGCGAGAGCAACATTGAAACAGGAGTCGCCCTCCATCCGTGAACCTCCTGCGAACCTTTAAGGCGAATGCGCGCGGCGCTTAGGCGGGAGCCACGTCCTGAACACGGCCCGCCCTCCATTCGTGACATGATTGCGCCATTTTACTTCGAATGTGCGCAGCGTCGATGCTTAAGCTTAGTCGCATAAATGGTGAGGTACTCTCAGGCGAAACGCCCGGCCCGCCCTATCGACACGTCTCGGGGTGCCACAGGGAGGAGTTCTTCCTAAGGAAACGGGATGCAGGAGGAGGAGGAGGAGGAGGAGGAAGAGGAGGAACAGGATGATGATGCTGATGATGATGATGCTGATGATGATGATGATGAGGAGGAGGAGGAGGAGGAGGAGAGAATAAGGGGAGGAGGAGAAGGGAGGAGAGAGGAGGAAGAGGAGGAGGAGGAGAGGAGGAGGAGAGGAGGAGGAGGAGGAGGAGGAGGAGGAGCACCACACGAGGATGGGGCCGCCCATTGGGGGCGGCCCAGCGGCTTCTGCGGATCGACACGATCGTGCGGGTGGACCGCGCCTTCACGCTGGCGGAGTTGCTGCAGGAGAGCCTCCCGCCCGCCCAGTGCGCCCGCTTCACTGCGCTTCGCGCGCGCGCGGGGTGCTCGAGCGCTCAGCTCTCGCCCTTCCGCTCTTCCTCCGTCCCCTCCTTCTTCCCCTGCTGGTAAGGTGGGCATGTCCATCTACAGGAGGAATCTTCAGGCATAGTCAACAAGATGTCTGGGGACGTTTTTTTTCTTACTATTGTTGGTTATTGTAAAGAATGAGTTTGTCTCATCAGTAAGGGCTTCGCCCCCCTGCCGCCGGCCCCCTCCATCGGAATGGGGTATATGAGAGTCGCGTTGGTACGTCTCGGCGCTGCCTTTGCGCATCTGGGAACATCATGCGGGGGCGGATAGGAATCACCAGCGCACGTTGAGCCGTGTTGGCTTTATCGAAGACGCCTACGGCGAATCACCGCCGCCCCCTGTCTTTTTGGAAGCTATGGAAGAGTGTGTGTTCCTCGAGGTTGGGAGCACTTTTCCTCCCGGGGGCCCTCTGGGGAGTCTGCTTGGAGCCCCTCTGGGGGCATTTTGATGGCCTCTTGGGCCATCGGAGGCCACGTGGAGGCCAGGGTCGGCCGTCTTGGGGCGTCTTGGGACCATATCGAGCCCATCGGAAGCCGTCTGGGATCACTTCGGGAGCGGAATGACCCCCCCGGCAGGCCCCGGCAGATTCGGCGCCCCCCCCCCGTCCGAACCGAACAGAACGAGCCCCCTTGAGAGTTGCTCGGCGTGTACGATAGTTCTATCTCACACGCCGAGCACCCCCCCAAGGGGTCGGCGGACTTGTGTAGACCTCTGGGCGAGTGTCTGATGCTTGCGCCCTTTTCGTTTCAGATCCTCTCCTCCACCAAACGCATGGTTTGGAATAGAAATGAGATGATCCATGGGATGCCTGAAGTTCACCAGACGCCTAAGCGTCAACAGTCTGGCCAGGAACCCAGCTGAATTATTTCCTATTGGGTTGTATGGCGTGGCGCCTCAGGGGCACGTTGAGACATCACGACCGGCCTTCTTGATACAATAGGCAGTGCGCCGCCCTTGCGTCGTGCAGCCAGCGCTGCGACTAAGCAAGCATTCCATGAGGGGAAACACAAGCAGAAGCAAATAATCGTCGATCCCCCTGAAGACATGGGGAGTTTGGGAAGTGGAGGGAAAATCGAGAATACAGAAAATACAGGAAATAGGGGGAATCCTGGGATTTGTGCCTATCTATTTGTGTGTCCCTGGGGTCTTTCAGCATCCCCCCGTCGGGTCCGCAGGGCCACCGTGGACACCTCCGACACTGGATCGACGGTGGCCCCTCGGAGCGCCTGCCTTGACTTGAAGATGCTCCCTCCTCAGCCCTCTTGCTCCCGAGCGTCTTACTGCAACTACGGGGTGTCTAGCGCACGCCCCCATCTAGCAGAGAGAATCGTCGCACGGGCACGAAGAAGAGGATGAGGGGCCATGGAGGAGGAGGAGGAGGAGGAGGAGGAGGAGGAGGAGGCGGAGGAGGAGGAGGAGGAGGAGGAGGAGGAGGAGGAGGAGCAGCAGCAGCAGCAGCAGCAGCAGCAGCAGCAGGAGGAGGAGGAGGAGGAGGAGGAGGAGGAGGAGGAGAGGAGGAGGAGAAGGAGGACGAGGAGGAGGAGGAACATGAGGAGGACCACTTGAGGGAGCTTGTCTTGAGAACTCACGTCATCGATCCCGACCCCCGGCGCGCGAGGGAGTGGGCCCGCCAACCGCCCCCCCTGTTCCACCTCGGGGAAGTCCATGAGATCCAGCGGCGACGTCCGCCCTCGCGTGGGATATCCTCAGATGGCCGGCCTCCCGAGCCTCCCCAAGGAGGCCCTCAAGTCCAAGAAATCTGGCGACGAATTCCAAACTGGCGCCCTCGCGCGGGACATCCTCAGACAGCCGGCTCCCGAGCCTCCCCATGGAGGCCCTCAGAGGCCCCCTTGTTGTGTTTCCAGGCAGTCCAGGAAATCCGGCGACGAATTCCAAACCGGCGACCCCGGGTGGGACATCCTCAGAAAACCGGCCCCCCGCGCCTCCCCAAGGAGGCCCCGAGACGCGCGCCGGGGCGCCTTGGTCGAGACACCCTCCCAAAGTCGACCCCTGGCGCGTGAGACAGTCAGGCCCCGCCGCGCCCCCAGGCACCATTTCTGGGGATCTGCCGGCGCGCGCCGGGGCGCGCCGGGGCGCACCGCGCCTTCTGTGTACAGAAGTTCCCGATCAACCGCGGAGCGGCCGGCTAGTAATATGTCAAGACGAGGAGGAGGAGGAGGAGGAGGAGGAGGAGGAGGAGGAGGAGGAGGAGGAGGAGAGCGAGGGATGCTGCTGCTGCTGCTGCTGCTGCTGCTGCTGCTGATGATGAGGCGGAGGAGGAGGAGGAGGCGGAGGCGGAGGAGGAGGAGGAGGAGGAGGAGGAGGAGGAGGAGGAGGAGGAGGAGGAGGAGGAGGAGGAGGAGGCGCAAGAGGAGGGGGAGGCGGGAGCTGGACCACGAGGCGCAGTAACGAGTCGGGGCGAGGGCGGTGGAGACCGGGGCACCCCTCAGGAGCCGGCGCAGCCGCGCGTGCAGAGGCCCAACCTGTCGATGGACGTGCGGTGCGTGGCGGACGAGGACGCGGGCCGCCGGGCTGCGCCGCGGCCCGCGCTGCGCGGCCCGCCCGCCCGGCGGGCGCGCAGGCGCGTTGGGGGGGCATCCGCGGGCAGGCTCGGGCGCGTGGGCTCGGGCCGGTCCTCGGGTCGAGGCTCGTCCTCGGGCTGGGGGCTCGGGCTCGGGGCTCGGCGCGGGCGCCAGCTCGTCAGAGGAGCACCTGGCAGCGCTCGGACGTGCGCAGGGTTCCTCGGCGAGGGGATCGAGGCGCATCCTGGATCCTGGATCAACTTGCGGCCAGTGCACGCGCGAAGCCGGAACGTGCCCGGGGAACGGACGTCCGAGCGATGGCGAGAAAAGGTACCGATGCCGCTACCCTGTGCCCGTGTTCGCCCTTCTTCGGCGTCCTGGGAGGCCCTCGTTGCCACTGTTGGATTCGCCTCGAAGTTCTGATCAGAACGCCCTCCGGGAGAGGTCCGGGGAGTAGTGGTATCGGTACCTGTTGGTTTCCCCAAGTGGGGGCCTCAGGCTCCACGACGACGACGACGATGAACATGACGACGACGAAGTCGACGAGGACCGCGACGACGACGACGACGACGACGACGACGAGGACGACGACGACGACGACGACGACGACGACGACGACGACGACGACGACGACGACGACGACGACGACGACGACGACGGTCTTGGGGCTCGGGCTCAGGGGTCTGTGGCTCGGGCTCGGGGGAGGCCAGCGTGCGCAAGGTCCTTGTCGGGGAGGGGACTGAGGGGCGTGGGGAGGGGGGAAGGGGGAGGGTTCCCAGACTCCCTCGCGCGGTGTAAAAAAGAATCACGGCAGGAGGTTTGTCGCTATTTTCGGCCTCTGGGGGCGCTTGCTGGGCCCTGGGGCCGTCAAAAAGCGGCTCAGGATGAGAAGCCGGTCTCGGGGAAGGGGTCCAGACATGGGGGTTCGACGTTGTGCAAACATCACGACGTTGGGGGTCGGGGGGTTTGGGATGGGGAGAGGCAGGGGAGGAAACGGCACCCATAATTACCGCTACCCTCTTCGCGTTTTCCCCGTTTTGGGCCTCCTGGGAGGCCCTCGTCGCCAACGCTGGATTCGCCTCGAAGTTCTCGCTCCGGGAGAGGTCCGGGGAGTAGCGGTATCGGTACGTGACAAGGGGGTGCAGGTGCGGAGGGGGAGGGATGGGGGGGAGGGGAGGACGGGGAGGTGGACAGGGCGGTGACCAAAGGATGGGGGAGGGGCGGAGCCGGGGAACGGGGGGGGGGGAAGATCCTGCAGGACCTTGCAGGATCCCGCAAAGCCTGACTGACCCAGGTTTGGATTGACCCGGGTCAGTCGATCCCCGAGCCGCGATCTGCAGAAGAGCGTTGCTCGGGAGGCTCGGGGCCCTCTCCTCCGCGCCCCTCGCTGCCCCGACGCCGGGAAGACGACGAGGAGGACCCGAAGGGACTCCGAGGCGACGAGGAGGGGGGGCGCCCGTGGCAGTGCCGGCGGTGCTGGATCCTGAAGCTGGGGCGAGGGTGGGGCGAGGCGAGGCGGTGCAGAGGCTGCCTGCCGCGGGCTTCGCGCGCTGCCCGCCGAGGCTCTCGAGGTCGTCTGCCTCGCGGCCCTCGAGGCTCCGCTCGGGGGCGGGCAGCCCTGTCGCAGCGTGTTTTTGTTGCCCTCCTCGGGAGGACGTGCAGTTCGGCGAGCTCCTCAAGCTCCTGCGCGACGAGGAGAACGCGCGGCTCCCCACGGTGGTTTACGTGTGGAAGCGCTTCACCGCAGACCAGGCCCCCATGGTGAGGATGAGGATGAGGATGAGGATGCGGATGAGGATGGTGATGAGGATTCTGATGGTGATGGTGATGATGATGGTAATGAGTACCCATGACGATGCTGTTGATGATGGTGATGATGATGCTGATGCTGATGCGGCTGCTCTGCTAACGATGGCGACGACGATGCTGATGCTGATGCTGATGCTGATGCTGCTGCTGATGATGATGATGATGATGATGATGATCTGACGATGCTGATGATGTTGAGACTGACGATGATGCTGTTGATGCTTACGATGATAGTGATAAGGAAATTGATGCTGTTGTTGATGATGGTGATACTGATGATGGTGAACATGTTGTTGATGATGGTGGGTATGATGATGATGATGATGATGTTGATGATGATGATCATTATGATGCCGATGATGATGATGATGATGATGATGATGATGATGATGATGATGATGATGATGATGATGATGATGATGGTGATGGTGATGGTGATGGTGATGATGATGAGGATGAGGATGATGCTGATGATGATGATGATGCTGATGATGATGATGATGACGATGCTGATGATGCTGATGATGACGATGCTGATGATGCTGATGATGATGATGCTTCTGATGATTCGGGTGGTTGTGGGGATGGGGACAAGGATGAGGATGAGAACGCGGAGTAGGTGTCCGAGGATGAGGACGAGGATGCGGACGAGGCTGCGGATGAAGAGGAGGTGGACGAGGGTGAGGTCGAGGATGAGGACGAGGTTGCGGATGAGGATGAGGATGACGGTGAGAAGGAGGAGGCGGTGGAAGAGGAGGAGGAGGAGGAGCTTGAAGAGGAGGAGGAGGAGGATGAGGACAAGGATGCGGGTGAGGATAAGGATGGATGGGTTGGCGATGATGATGACGCTGGTGGTGATGCTGAGGCCGTTTATGGTGATGATGATGATGGTGATGATCATGCTGATGATGGTGGTGATGGCGGTGATGATGATGCTGCTGCTGATGATGATGATGATGATGATGATGTCGATGATGACGATCATGACGATTATGATCATGATGATAATCATGCTGATGCTGATGATGACGATGATGATGCTGATGGTGATGATGATGATGATGATGATGATGATGACGAGTGTGCTGCTTATTGCGCTGCTGATGATGGTGCTGATGACGATGACGCGGCAGCAGGCGATGATGAGGATAGTGATGTGGATGACGACTCTGATGATGATGCTGATGACGATGATGATGCTCATGATGATGATGCTGATGATGATGCTGATGACGATGACGATGATGATGATGCCGACGATGATGATGATGATGATGATGATGATGATGACGATGATGATGATGATGCTGATGAGCATCAAGATGCGGATGATGACGATGAGTATGATGTTGCTGATGATGGTGATGATGATGATGATGAGGAGGAGGAGGAGGATGATGCTGACGCTGACGCTGATACTGATTTTGCTGATGATGATGCTGATGCTGATGCTGATGATGACGATGATGGTGACGATGATGGTGATGATGGTGATGATGCTGATGCTGATTATGATGATGATGCTGATCATGATGATATGCTGATGATGTTGCTGATGGTGATGATGGTGATGATGGTGGTGATGATGATGACGACGAGGATGATGATGCTGCGGATGATGATGCTGATGATGGTGATGATGATGATGCTGCTGATGATGATGATGATGATGATCATGATGTGATTGTGATTATGAAGGATGATGATGATGCTGATGATGATGATGACGATGATGATGATGATGAAGATGATGATGATGATGATGATGATGATGATGATGATGATGGTGATGATGCTGCTGCCGATGCTGATGCTGATGCTGATGCTGATGCTGATGCTGATGATTATGGTGGTGGTGATGATGATGCTGATGATGATAATGAGTATGCTGATGATTGTGATGGTATTGGTGGTGGTGGTGGTGTTGGTCATGCTGACGAGTATGATGAGGATGAGGATGAGGATGAGGATGAGGATGAGGATGAGGATGAGGATGAGGAGGAGGAGGAGGAGGAGGAGGAGGAGGAGGAGGAGGAGGAGGAGGAGGAGGAGGAAGAAGAGTCGTGAAAGGCCTTTTTTCCCCTGGATCCGCAGTGGCAGCTCAAGGCGTGCTCGAGGATGAGGAGGCAGAACAATTAGGAGATGGAGATTGATGCAGGTAGAGGAGGGGGAGGAGGAGGTGGAACAAGGATCAAAACTTAGGAGAATGAGGAGGAGCAAGCATGGAGAAGGAGGAGGAGGCGAGACAGGATGAGGATGCGAGGAGCAGGAGGAGGCGGGATGAAGGGAGGCGGATGAGAGATGAAATGGAATGCAATGGGCCCCATCGCGATGCGATATGAAACGACATGTAGGCTGCTCTGGACTCAGACCTCCTCCAGCGCCGATGCGACCGAGAGCAGGAGCCCGAGCGCAGGACCACGCAGAGGCCGTGCACGAAGGAGAGGTGGTAGCAGATCGACTCTTCTTGCAGTCCGCCGAGCCCGAGCTGCCACGTGATGCGTCGGCGTCTCGGAGGAGCCGCGCACGCTCAGCGCTGACCGGCCATCGCTCAGCGGCCGGCGGAGCGGCCGCCGCCATCGCCGTCCCGAGCGCGGGCAGCAACGTACCGACGTCCGCGCTTGCATCTCCATCGCAAGCGCCTGCACGATGAGCCTGGACACCAGGGTCTCCAGCGTCAGGCCCCGCTGCTGGCTGCGCGACCGCCTCCACCACACCTGGGGCTGTCCTGCCCCGTAGAGGCCCCGTGGGAGGGGGTGCGGCCGCGAGTGGCGCCCCAGCACCATCGGGAGCGGCACCTCCCTCGACCCGCGGACCCTTGGCACCAGCGGGCAGGCGAAGAGGCTCGACTGCTCCTCCATCGAAGGCCTCCTCCGCCACATCCTCATGACCGTCAGCACCTTCTGTCTCGCCAGGCGGGTCCTGGACGCAGGCCGCCACTGCACCAGCGGGAGCTGCACCTCCCTCGTCCCTATGACCCTCGGCACCAGCAGGTCGACGATCGCCCGCTCCTCCAGCGACGGCCTCCCTCGGAACAGCCACGGCCGCCTTGGCAGGCGCGCCCATGCCGAGGCTGCTTTCGGCTACGACTTCGGAGGCGCCGTCGAGCCGAGGAGCGCCAACTCCTCCGAGAAATCCGCCATCTCCGCCAGCGCCTTCGCGACGGGCGCGGGCAGCCAGAGCCTCGCGCAGCGCCTCGCCCAGCAAGGTGGGCGACTGCCCGCGACGGCTGCGCACCTCATCGAAGGCGGCCAGGAGGTGGTTGGCGGCGCGGCCATGCGCCCGCGCCTGCTGTGCGCGGCGCTCCGCCGCGGAGCGGTTGGGCCGCCGAGGCCGCCGCGCAGAGCCCGGGTCCGTGCCGCGCGGAGGCGGGGGATGCCCGAAGGAGAGCGGCGGCACGCGCGGCGGGGGACGAGCGGGGCGGCGCGGGAGGGCGCCCGTGGCGCGGGCTCAGGAGCCCAGGGTCGTGGCCGAGCTGGCGCCGGCGGATGCGAGGCGAGGGATGAAAGAGGGGGGGGAGGACGGAGGGAGGAACGGGAGAGGGAGGAGGTAGCGGGATGATGAGGACGACGTCGACGTCCAGCCTCTATTTCGTGCAGCGCCAGCTTGCTCTTTTCGGCCTTGGGCCGCTCTTCTTGATTTGCCTCCAGCGTCTTGCGTTGGCGACCCTGCGAGCTAATTTCCCCTCTTCCTTTCCTGTTCTCCCTCTCCCCCTCTCCTTGTCTCTCCCTTCTCGTCTGATGAGAGCATGCCCCTCAGAGGGCTACAGCCAGTCGCTTCGACTTGTCGCCGAGTTCCGCCGCCGCCTTTTCGTCCCCACGGCCTGCCTGGCTGTGTCTTCCGCGTTTCCTGCCCCCCTCCCCCGAACGGCGATGTAGGCAACGGCGGTGCAGGTTTCGGATTGTATGGGGGGGTGGTTCGTGGCCGAACCAATTGTAGGAAAGACTTGCTAGAGTTTTCCTACACTTTGTTCTGCGCGAGTTCGGCGTTGCAACAACCATATTCCCAACTTGGAGTACCATGTGGGACCTGTTCTCGAACAGGAACGTACCGTAGACGAATCTCCCTCTCTCCGACCTCGCACCGCACCGAGCGCAACGGCCGGACGCAACGGCCACGTCGTCCGTAGACGTATCCGCCCCGAAAGTGTCCATGGACGTCACGGCACCCACTGTGTCCATAGGCATTTTTGGCTAGGACGTGAGAACGGTATTGCGAAGGCCTGACGGCCGATGCCGCCGACCCTGAGAACGACGAAGGTGAAAACGAGGGGGGGCAGGGAGAGGAGGATGAGTGGGATGTGGAGGAAGGGTGGAGGAGGTGGATGAGGGAGGAGGAGGGGGGAGAAGGATGTGGAGGAGAAGCAAAAGGAGGAGAAGGAGGCAGAGGAGAGCAGGAGGAGGGGGAGCAGACGGGGGGAGGAGGAGGAGGAGGAGGAGAGGAGGAGGAGGAGGAGGAGGAGGAGGAGGAGGAGGAGGAGGAGGAGGAGGAGGAGGAGGAGGAGGAAGAGGAGGAGGCCAGAGGCTTTCTTGGGACAGCCTGGGGCTCTCTTGAGGCCGTCTTGCGCCGTCCAGGGCTCCTCTTGCGCCGTCTCGAGGCCCTCTTGGAGGCCTCCTGGGCAATTTGGGGCTCTCCTGGGCTGTCTTGGGGCAAAATTGGAGGCTTCTTGGGCCGTCTTGAGCTGACGGAAGTTCCGACGGAAGCCCGAAGCGAAAACCTTTCAATAACTTGAGGAGGTTGTGCTGTTTTTTGTCTTTTCGGGTACTCCAGAGGGTCCTGTTGGAGCCCTCTTGGGCTGTCTTGGGCCATCTTGGCGGTCTTGGTGGCCTTCCTGGGCCGTCTTGGATTCCTCCGAAGGACCTCGTGGGCTAGCTTGGGGCTCTTTTGGTGCGGTCCTGGGCCATCTAAGGCCCCTCTTGCGCCGTCTTGATGCCGTCTTGGAGGCCTCTTGGGTCATTTCGGGGGTCTTTTGGGCCGTTTTGGAGCAATCTTGGAGGCTTCTAGGGCCGTCCTGTGCGGACGGATGTTCGCAGCGAGAATCGTTCAAAACTGTTTAGGCAATCGGTGATTTTTGCTTCGTCGGGCCTTCTGGAGGATCCTTTTGGAGCTCTCTTGGGCGGTTTTGATAGCTGCTTGGGCCGCCTTGAGGTCATCTTGGGCCGTCGTGCCGTCTTGGAGCCATCGCTCTTTTGGGGCCATCGTGTCCCTCTTGGAGACTTTTTGAAAGCCATTTTGGGGGGATCTTGGCCAGCTTGGCGGCCATCTGTCAGGTCTTGGAGCCGTCTTGTGGCCATCTTGGGGCCCTCTCGGGCTGTCTTGGGGCCATCGTGGAGACTTCTTGTGCGCTCCTCTGGCGATCTCGTGGGCTTCTTGAGCCGTCTCTCGCCGTCTGCAGGCCAACAAGGAGCAAATCTCGAGAAGCAGTGGAAAACATAAAGAACATCGATGTGCTTCGTTTCTTCGGGCCTCCCAGGAGATGTTCTTGGAAGCCTTCTCGGCCGTCTGGGAAGACTCTGGCGTGGGTGAGAGTCCTGAGGAATGCGTGCTGGGGTATGTTTCGAACGCTCTCGTGGGCCGCTGGGTGGCAGTGTGGGGCCTCTTCGAGGCTTGAGGGCCTTGGGGCTGGGGGCGTTGTGGCCCGTAATGGGGCCCTCGTGGACCGTTTTAGGACTCTGTTGGAGGCTTCTTGGGGCGTCTCGGGGCGATCTTGGGGGCCCGTGGGGTTGTCTGGGAGCTTCGGGGAGCGAAAGGAACGAGAACGCAAGAATCTGTGGAAAACGGACGAGAATCGAAGGATTTTGCTTGTTTGGGCCTTCGTGGGATTGCGCCTGGAGGCATTTTGCGCCGTCTTGCAGGCCTATGGGGCCGTCCAGAGGCTGCGAAGGCGTCTTGCACAGATCGTTCGGCGATTCAACGTTTTCTTGAACTGTCTTGAAGGCGTCTCGGGGCAATCTTCGCTCGTCCAGAGGCCTTTTTGAGCTCCGGGACCCGTCCCTGAAGGTGAAGGACGACGGCGGCGGCGGCGGTAGCGACGACGACGCTCATGTGGGTTGAGTCCTCAGGGGTGCTTCTTGGGGTCTCTTCCGAGCGCTCTCGAAGGCCTCTGGGGGTCAGGTTGTGGGCCCCTTGGGAGCCTCTTGGGGCCTCTTGGGGTTTCTTGGGGGGGCCTCTTGGGGGCCTCTTGGGGCTGAGGGCTCGAAATGTCCGTTCGGGTCCCCCGTCTGGGCACTCTCCTGGAGCCGTCTTGGGCCTCCTGGACCGTCTTGGCGACGTCTGGGGCCGTCTTGGGGCCCTCTTCGGCCGTTAGGGGACCCTCTTGGGGGCCTCTTGGACCGTCTCGGGGCGATCTTGGGGACCTCTTGGGCCGTCTTGGCGCGTCGGGAAGCGGAAGAGGCAAGAACGCAACAATCTTTCAAAAACCTATGGGAAATCCATGAATTTTGCCTCTTGGGGCTCTCGTGGGAAAGCTCCTGGAGGCCACTTGGGGCGCTTTGCAGGCCTCTTGGGACGTCTGGAGGCCGTCAAGGCGTCTTGGACAGATCGTTCGGCGATTCGGGGTTCTCTTGGACTGCCTTTGGGGCCTCTTGGGGCACTCTTGGACCGTCTTGGGGCTTTTTTGGTCTCTGGGACTCCCGGGGGGGGGCGTCGTATCTGACCCCCCCCCCGTGGCGGAGAAGGGATCGAAGGAAAGGGGCTTCCTTTCGACTCAGTTACGACGTTGCCCAACTTCGCTTTGGCTGGCGCGCTGAGGAGGTACCTGGGGAAGGGGGGGAGCGTCGACGAGCCCAGGGAAAGCGGGAGGCAGGGAAAGGGGACGACAGAGACGACGACCAACGAATGACGGAGATGACGACTTGAACGGACAAGTCCCTCACACACGCCGACAGGGTCGGCGGATTTGGCATCGGCCCCAGATGTTGGTCTTCTAGAATCGGGAAAACGTAAGATTCGAGTAAGCCGGAGTTCGGGTCTACCGACCTGTTTTGACGAGCGCGTCGTGAATTTTGACGGTCCGGTCTTCTTGGGATGTTTGCAGCGGGAGCTCGCGTCATATTTCAGATGGGGCCTCGTCATTTTTATGATGGCCCCGTCGGGCCAGCCCGAGTCCCCCGTGCCTGAGTCTTGTGTCTCCCCATAGAAGCAGGTAGGCTTGGCCCTCCAATTTGTTCAACATCGCCGTCAACTCGGCGTCCCCCCAACATACTTCTACTATGTGTTCGTCGCCCCCCCCAGGGGCGGCGCGCGCACCGAGAAGTCTTATAGTATATGCGTCGTGGCGGGCGCTTTCGGGCCACACCGCTCGAGAAACGATATACTACAAGATGGGCATGCTATACGTTCGGGTCGGACGCGCGCCTCCGAGGCGGACATTTAGTATCGGTATGTCTTTGTGCGTCCCGTCAACGAACATCGCCGACAGCGTGGCCTTGCCCCCCCCCCCCCCCCCCCCCCCCCCCCCCCCCCCCTGACAGCCGCCTGGCCTGCGGCGGCGGCGCCCCGCCCTGTGGCTCGCTCTTTGGCCGGCGGGGCTTCCGCAGGCGCGGGTTCAGACGGGCTGTCGCGCAGGAGGAGGAGGAGGAGGAGGAGGAGGCGGAGGAGGAGGAGAATGAGGAGGAGGAGGAGGAGGAGGAGGCGGCGGCGGCGGCGGCGGCGGCCGGCGGAGGAGGAGGAGGAGGAGGAGGAGGAGGAGGAGGAGGCGGAGGAGGAGGAGGAGGAGCGAGGAAGGAGGAGGAGGAGGAGGGAGGAGGAGGAGAGAGGAGGAGGGAGGAAGAGGAGGAGAGGAGGAGGAGGGAGGAGGAGGAGGAGGAGGAGGAGGAGGAGGAGGAGGAGGGGGTGGAGGAGGAGGAGGAGAGGAGGAGGAGTAAGGAGGAGGAGGAGGAGGAGGAGGTGGAGGAGGAGGGAGGAGGAGGAGGAGGAGGAGGCGGGAGCAGGACTCAAGGAAGGAAACAGCCACCCCGACCTCAGTTGGCGGTTGCAAGACGGTCCTGGGCGTTTGTTCAACAGCCCCGCCTTGCTCGATTCCTTTCCTTCGGTGCGTTTGCTAAACGGCATCGTTTGTCGGGGTGGTTGTTTTGAGGGTGCTCCTTTTCCTTTCTAAAGATGGAAGGGGAGAGGGATCGAAAAACAGAAACCGACATCAACATCAAATTTGGGAGCTCCGCGCAGATTTCTTGGATCGGCGCTTGGCCCGCCTGGCGGCGCCTCTGGCACCCCTCCCAGCGCGCCGCGGCCCCAGGACGGGGGGTCCAGTGCCGATGCAAGAAACTGCGCGGACGTCCGAGAACATATGTTTATGCCGTTTCTTCTTTCTTTCAGAAAGAAGAGGGACAGATACGGCACCCCGCGCGCCAGTGGGCCAAACGCCTTCGTCAGCTCGTGCGCGGCGGGGTCCGGTCCTACCACGGCAGCATGCTGCCCGAGGACAGGCGGCAAACGCAGGACGCGGTCCGCTCGTCGTCGTCGTCGTCGTCGTCGTCAGCGTCAGCGTCAGCGTCAGCGTCAGAGTTAGCGTCAGCGTCGCAGTCGTAGTAGTAGTAGTAGTAGTAGTAGTAGTAGTAGTCGTAGTAGTAGTCGTAGTCGTAGTCGTAGTCGTAGTCGTAGTCGTAGTCGTAGTCGTAGTCGTAGTCGTAGTCGTAGTCGTAGTCGTAGTCGTA